GGGGGGGGGCGCTCCTCAGCGGGGGCCAGAGGGGGCGGGGGATGCAGGCCAGGGTGTTAGCAGGGATGAGGCCCGGTGGGCCAAGGTCACCCCGCAGGCAGTCTTGTGAAAGCCAGGTCTCCTTCCCCCAGGGCAGCCACCGTGGGAGAGAAAGCCCGCTGGGTCAGGTGGTGAGTCTTGGGGGAGAGGAGGTGAGGAGGCCAGGCCAGGCTGGCACCCAGGCAGAGTGGCACATCCCCTCCCCTCCCCCAGCCCCCTGGGGACACAGACAACTCCCAGGCACCATCGGTGGCCGAGGCACCCTGCCCCCGGGGCTGCCCTGTTAGGAAGGGGCTGGCGAGGTCTTACCTGCGTCTCCGTGAGACTCTCGAGGGCTTGCATCACAGACTGCTCCGGCCTTGAGGCCTGAGACTACAAAGAGAGGCAGGAGAGGGGCCTGAGTGTGGGGTCGGAATCGCAGGCTGGAGCATGGGGTGGGGAGGGCCCTGCTGGCTGGCGGAGTGGGGGCCCCAGGTGGTGTGTGTGCGCGGACAGGTGCCGAGGGAGGGGCTACTGCCTGTGTGCGGGGGCCTCGGGGGGCACGCAGCCCCATGGCCATTTACCATGAGGCCCGCTTCCACGGTGGGTACCAAGGTCAGCTTGCTGCCATCACCCACGCCGAACTCCTGCAGCTTCCCCGAACTGAGCCGGCTGGGGGGAGGAAAGAAGAGCATGAGACTCCGCGGAGACGATACAGGGCCGCGGAAGCAGAGGCCGCGGGGGAGGGCTGTGCTTGTGTGGGGAGAGACGGATAAGTTCCCACCCCCAACCCTTCCCGGCTTCCAGATCCAGGGCCCTGAGCGCATGCAGAGGTCTCTGTCTGGTACTGGGAGCCCCATCCTGGCGATTCGGACCCCTTCCCTCCAGTGGAAACCCCGCCCTGGACTCTGGCACTCTGGCACCCCCTCTGCACCCCAACCAGGCACTTTCCCCTCGTCTGGGCCCCAGTGTGCTCTATGCCACCTTCCCCCCGCGCCCCCAGAGCAGCCCCTGCCTCCAATTCCCCAACTCTAGCCCTGGCTCGTCTTTGTGGGCGCCACGGGCTTCGGCCCGAGAAGAGGCCCTGGGGGCTGCGCCGGGCCGGGCTC